TGGAACACGGAGGCAAGAACACAATATGGAGATAAAATAATAACAATATATTACTTTATAAAGCACCTGTCACACTGTCTGCAATGGTTCACAACCATGAGTGCCAACTTCATGGCAGACTGTCAAATAGCATGTCAATACTTTAATCTTTTTTTATACCATTTCATGCTTCACACTCCCATTCCAACAGCCACAAAAATCATTAGCCAAAAGGCCAGCATCTTTCTGCTTGAAATGGCAGAAATGATGAGTCCCATTACTTTTCCTAACAAGTCCCAAACATTTTGGGCCACCTGTGGATAAAAGAAACTTTGCAAAAGACTTACAAAAATCAGTTGCTTAATGGAGACTGTCTTGTTCCAAAGGGGAAGCAGAACTGTACTAATTACACTAAAGAATACTTTTGGGTGGCTCCTTAGGACAGGCATTTGCTTAATTAAAAATCATGCCTTGGACAGATTTCATGATAGTTATCAGAACAAAGACGAATAATTCATTTACCTATTTATGATATTTTTTGTCAATCCAGATTTCAATAGCCACAAAATCCCTTCCTGACTCATGGTCAATTTTCTGTTGGGCTGTGTCTACACTGCACCTCTTTTCCGGAAAAGGGATGCAGATTAGACACTTCGGAATTGCAAATCCGTGGGGGAGTTAAATATCCCCCGTGGCATTTGCATTTACATGGCTGCTGCTCTTTTCCGGCTTGGGGATAAGCCGGAGAAAAGCGCCAGTCTAGACGCGATTCTCCGGAAAATAAGCCCTTTTCTGGAGGATTTCTTATTCCTACTTGAAAGTGCAAGTAGGAAAAGGGGTGCAGTGTAGACACAGCCTTGGTGTTTTATGGTGTTTCTCACTGAAGTGATACCTATGGAAAATGGTGAAGAATAAAGCTCAGCAAGCCTGATCTAGATTATATTCTTTGATTCCTCTCTGTCAGCTCAACAATGAGGATGAGAACAAATTAAATCTTTTCCATTCTTTAGATCTAAAATCTAATATTTATTTATTTAAATTTCTTCATTTAAAATATTTTTACCTCGGCTCTCTATTTAAAATATTCTAGGTGACTAATATTTGCCAAATGTATCATCATAAGTCTTTAGGTGCAGCAGGGTCATATGTTACGTGCCCTTCACTTGCACTTCTCGCTGCAACGGAGGCAACGGAGGCAAGGTTCCACCAGGGCATGGCATTTGGTACACATGCAGCTACTTGAAGCCGCTAAAGAGTCGAGTGAGTTGCTGGGATAAGCTTAAAAAAACCCCACTCCTTATAGTTGTAGCTGTCTACTATGCAGAGATACTATCTGTGGAACAAATGCTATACAACTCCCAGATTACATTAGGAATGTAAAAAATTGATGAGGAATGCTCTTTCAATTCCAAATATTATGACAGAAAAACAGATGATTTTCATTGGATATAGAATCAGGTCTGGCTTTAGGAAGTGCAGGGCCCAATTCAAACCAAATTTTGGTTGAGCAAAAAAAAAAAAAACCAACCCAGCACACAAAGAAACAACTCACAGCCTCTTTAAATCCCCAGCTACAGAGCAGAGTCCCACCTTCCAGCTAAACCCACGGGCCGACTCCCCTCCTGCGGCGCACAGAAGCTGCCGCACTACTCCTCCGGGGCCAACGCCCCCTTCCGTGGCGTGTCTGGCACACTTCCGGGTTTAGGGTGTGGGGCCCTCTGGTTTTAGGGCGTGAAGCCCTTTTAGGCGTGGGGCCTTGCATAGAATGTTTCTTAGTATGTTTTCTTCTGCAGATACAGCCATAGACCACAATTCACAATCACTGCTGTCTCTGAATTGGACTAAGAATTATAGAATCACAGGAATGGAAAGGTCCTGGAAAGGTCGTCAAGTCTAGTTCCCTGCACTCATGGTAGGACCAACACCATCTGAACCATTTCTGACAGGTGTCTGTCTAACCTGCTCTTAAAATCTCTAATGATGGAGATTCCACAAACTCCCTAGGGGTACGTCTACACTACAACGTTAATTCGAACTAACTTAGTTCGAATTAGTTAATTTGAACTAAGCTAATTCGAACTAACGCGTCTAGAACTAAAAACTAGTTCGAATTAGTGTTTTGCTAATTCGAACTAGCAAGTCCACATTGAGTGGACCCTGAACAGGGCTTAAGGATGGCCGGAAGCAGTGCCGGCAGGGCATCAGAGGAGGACTTAGAGCGTGGAGATGCTGTCTCAGGCTAGCCGAGGGCTGCGCTTAAAGGGACC